CTGTCTCACGACAAGATGGAAGTGCTGTGTCAGATCTTTGGCAAGCGAAGAGGCGGTACAAACTTGAAGTGGAATCAAGTGGCGACATTACTGGAGGCCTTTGATCGTGAATCTGCTGGATGTCAGCAGCGCACAGGAGGATCCAAGGTGAAGTGTTCATTGGGGAGTTTCGATGAGAGCTGGGTCTTTGTTCATCGTCCTCATGGGAAGGATGGACAGACGTTGGACACTATGGTGTATGATGGGAAACACTATTTCGTACACTTGTGGAACATCGGTCCCGACTACTTTCGCGTATTGACTGATCATTGACCACGTGTTCTGGAAGGACCCGAATAAACAATAAAGGATTTGCCAAAGTATTGCGGGGGAAAGCATCAAGAATGCAAAGGCAGCAGTAGCTTCATTCATCTGGTGAAACTCGCACGAGATGTGATTGATTGATTCTATCTACTCACCACGAATGTTTACGGTATGCGCCACGGAGTGCGTGGAAAGTGCGTGCGGCGACAGTTTGAACACCAGAAGTGTTCACACCGGAAACAACGACGACAACGACAACGACGACAACGACGACGTCGGCGGCGGGTGATGGCGGTATGCGCGAAGCGAGGGCTGATCAAGGCGCTGCAAGAGCCGGCAGCGGTCACGCTAGGCACCGTATGGCGCGCTGCTGGGGGGCACCAGCTGCCCAAGCGTGTAGGGCGTGGGCAAGGGTCCGGCCGCGGCAACACCTGCGGCAAGGGCCACAAAGGGCAGCGGGCGCGAGCGGCGGCCGGCCGGAAGATTGCCTTTGGATGGCGCGCCGCTCACCACACGACTGCTGCATCAGTCGAATATCGTGGGCAAAGTCACCCGAGGCATCAAACTGCTCGGGCGAGGCGCCGAGTCCTTTCGTACGCCGGTGCATCTGCAGGTCACCGAGGTCTCTGCCATGGCTCGTGCAGCGGTGGAGGCGTGCGGTGGTCGAGTCGACCTGGTGTACTACAACCGGTTAGGTCTGCGAGCACATCTGTACCCGCACAAGTTCGCGCTGCTGCCGCGATTGGCTCGACCGCCGCGCCGCTGGGCGCTCAAGCACGGTGTACAAGACCACCTGTGAAAATGGTGTGGCTCTGGTTGGTAGACCTTCTTGTCAGTTAGAGCGTTGTATTACAAGGAGAACAGCGTCTAGAGAAGAGAACAACTGCTGCAGGAGCACAAAGGAGTGTTTGTTTTTAAGTGGGCAAGGGTGCTGAGACCACCAGAGGCGTATGTAGGGGTCTCGAGATGTTGGATACTGGAGAACCATCACTGATGCCACAAGGTTCAGTTCCATCGTGTCACACCACACCCTTTAGTCCAGCCAACCTCCGTGATCGTTAGTTACCCAGTTTCAGATTGGGAGTCGGTTTGGGTCGTATCTTCACTCCAATTGCGATTCTATAGGCGTTGACAAAGAATGTTGGTGAGATTCTCTCTATCTGTTTCTCCAACAACCACTTCAATATCACAACTTACCAGAGCACGTGATGAGCGACCGGCAATCTGGACCTCGAGCTGTTCACCAGAGAGAATGGAATTGCGACCCACTGCACTGCTCTTGGCCATGGAAATGAACGAGCCAGATCAGCCAACCACAAGGCTTTTTCATGGCTCGATGCGGCATAGACTTCGATGGATTTCGAGTGATTGTGAATGGCCCAACTGTTTTGAACTTCTGCAGTGTCTGGCAAGTCGACGATGTGTGTTTCACGCAAGGCCAACACTTTCTTGACCGAACAATGTTCGTGTGTTGCTGATGGTCGAGCAGCGTACAACAGCACATCATTCAGGAGGACAAAGAGATACTTGCGATGATTCTTGTACTTGAAGGAGGTGTTGTTCCAACGCTTCTTCAGGGCCCCATGCCTCACGTAATAGCGACGCGAATCGACGAGGTTGATCTTGTTGTTGAACAGCATTTCTTGAATCTGCAACACGCGTACCCTTGCTTCATTCTTGTCGTAACGGGCATTCATCGAGTCAGCGAGCTGCTTGACATCCTCCAGAGCACTTTGTATCTGTTCTTGAACAATGCGGTTGAGAAAACGTTGTTTGGTCGAGTGTTTGTACATCGCTTCGAGCAAGAGCAGGTAGCGGGGTATTCTCTGAATGGGTGTAATCAACAACGAGTCCAGATCACAACCTTCACACGCCTCTTGCAATTCGATGAATTCCCGAAACGATCGGTTCGACGCTCGTTTCCGTTGAAGCAAGCTCTGAGCAGCACCGTAGCCTTGGATATACTGCGAATAGATCTTGAAGAAAGGCACAAATTGCTTGACCACACCCGCCAGCGATTGCTGCAGTTCACGTGTTCCTGCTTGTCGTAGTTTCTCGAGGTCCCGTAGAAACGATCGATGCAAGAGCAACAAATCATGTAGATTCAGAAAGATGTTCTCCACTTCATCCAGCAGAAGAAGTGGTCGGCCGAGCTCGACGAGCTTTCGTAGCCGCAATACATAGGTCGGGGCTACTGTTTCAAGCCCTCAATGCCAGGCTTTATTCTAGAAGTTCTATGGAGGTTAGTTGAAACCAGACACCTTGTCAACACTGTCAAATCGACTGTACGCCCTTCAAGATGACCACCTCGTTTTGGTCCAAATATCCAGGCGATCAGCCATCGACGGCTCACAATTTCGGCGGTGGATCGCCATCTACAATGGTCGAATCCAATGCATTGATCGCTGCCGCAGAAGAGTTTGTTCAAACCGAAGAAACGTACGTGGCAGTAACCTACCACGTACTGAAACATAAAAGCTCTTCCTTTCTTCCATGTTTATCTTCCTCCGCATCGTGATATCTAACGATTCAACGAGGTACCGAGCCTTTAACGTGTGATGGAAATCACTTCTCCATCGCGTTTTATTTGAACAACAACGCCATGCCCGTGCAGTTTGTTGTGAAGCCCATTCATTGATCACGAACAAGAACAAAACACATGGCGATCAAGAAGAATGTACTGCGTGAAGCAACCACAGCTTCTGCTGCTGCTTCGACAGCGGTAGGCTCCACTCGAAGATCTGAACAAGATCCTCAAGAAGACGAAGAGGACTATAGCAAGTTTTCCAGGTCTTCTCCATCCTGGAACGAATGGTTGTTACATTATGATTTGATTACGTCGTTGTATATGTTGGAACCTTGGGAGCGCTTCGTGTTTAGTGAGTGTTGTTGTCTATCCATTACACTCTAGATAGATAGGAAGTGAACAGAGTTTATTCGCGTAGATACGTTTATGGCATGCGCTGTTTTTGCTGCCGCCTATTATATGGCCATTCCGATGATTGTGGCGTTGTCCACGACATGTTTTCAACTGTCAAGTCCTTATAGTATCTATGCGCTGGAAACTCTACGTTCATGTTTTTCGTCATTTGTTGAAAACTGGTCATCAGACTGAGAAGAATCTCCTCGTTGATGGGTGAATTTGTGTTCTTTATAGCATCGCCGTAAAAAGAAAACGACCTGTTCTCCCCACGGTTTGTCCTCCACGTTGCCTCGATGAAAATCTTTCTCTATATAAGGGTTCATCCAACCAACATACAACTAACATCATCATCATTATCACGATGGCCACCACCGATGCAGTACCAGTGCCCAGCACTCCATTTGTAGAATCAGCAATCGATCACCAACGTCTGGATTTCTTGCAGCGTATCACTCACGCCTACTTTGAAGCTCTCAGGTAACAATAACGCCAAGGTACCTGTCGTGGTGGTGGTGTGTATTTTAACAACTAACAACAAGTACAGAGATACCGAAGCACATCGTATGAAAGAGTTGAAGAGCTGTGTGCGACTGCAGGCCTGGCTTCGCGGTTGTGATTGTCGTCGACGGCTTCGATTACAACAGTAAGTACAAGGTGATAATGTGTAGTTGCATCGGTGCCCATCAATGAAACCAATGAAACAGTTCATCGGCCACTCACATTCAACGCTTGTTTCGAGGATACGCTGGACGTCGTGGGGCTCGAGCCTTGGGAAGAAAACGACAACACGCCAATCATCTTGCCGTTTGTGATGCTTTCGCGGTCAGTATCCAGCGAATGTAAGTTATAAAGCTAGGCGAGGTTGGCTTGAGGCTGTTCTCAAGCGAGTCTTGGTACGCTCAGTTTTCGAGGATATCGGTCTCGAGCCTCGAAACTCGACTTTTACAAACGTCAACGCTACGTGGGACAAACTGCTTCCAAAGGTCAAGCGGTTCGTGAAGCGCTCCAGCAACAATTCGAGCGCGATTTGGAGGAGCAGGAGCAGAGGGAACAGACGGAAGCAGCTGAGCAATTTGATGCGATCACATCGAATCTCCATCATTTACTCAGTACCGCCCGAATCAAAGGCATTTTTCAGTCGCCCTTTGGTGAAACGTATTCGGCCACAGCCTTTGATATTCCACTGGAAGAACACATTGTGGACAGTTTCCACAATCTTCGTGCTCAACAAGAACGAGAACGACGTGTCAAACTAAGCCAAATCAGACGACGACAGAAACTGGGTTTTTCTCCCGCCATTTTCGATCAAGAAGAACAATCGATGGTGCCATCACCACCAACGTATCCTGTACCTCATCATTCCACGACAGCTGCTGCTGCTTTGCACCGTTATCTGGATCGCCAGGACTCTTGATGATCGTGGAGGAGGAGGAGGAGGAGGAGAAGCCAGATAGATTTTTCCAGTACAGTGGAAGAATCCAATCCAATCCATCGCTCTACTTCTTGCCTTGGATCACATTTCGTATCCGTACCCACCACCAAACATCATGGTGATCGATAACAAGGCGCTTCTACCTTCGGATAAATTGTACGATGAACATAACAAGCTACACTTCCTCCCACGTGCCAAACGTTACCAAGAGAATCCTTTGTAGGTAGTCTCGATGTGGTCACAATATATCTCGTCGTCCTCCTCCTCCTCTTTCTTCGTTGAATCTGAAGTAAACGCCCTCTGCTGGCTGTATGTTGTCATCCACTAGATTACAGCCTGTGATCATTGGCCAGGCTCGAAGGTCAGTGGCCAAGCTTCCTCCACACAACTTCGCGTATGGAGTGGTGCAAGACGCGAATCAAGCAGCAAGCGATCGCCACGAATCGGTGGCCAGCGCCGTTCATGAATGGGAAGAACATGTTCCCAATCCTCTAGCGCGTCCTGGTCCAGATTTCGCGCGAATGAATCGAGCAGCGGTAGGACGTCGTGTGGTCGAAGCACGAAACGTTCAACAAGATCGTCGTCGTCATCCGCTGCTGCTTCGTGAAGGACTTCATCGACCACGAGCAGCGGCTCGAGGCCCTTCGCCACAACAATTGGCTTTCGTTGAGCAATACGGCGCAGGTCTTTTGTTGGACAAAGACGCCGAATCCTTAACCGATGTGGTGGAATACGCTTATTATCGCGAATGGATGAGCAAACAATTCCATCGTTTGCATCGTTCAGGCGTGAAAAGCGCTTCTGCACTGTCGCCGGCTGCCTCCAAAGCTGCGCCTGGCAGTACACGAGCACTTCGATTACGTCAAGAACAACGTCAACGACAGCTCGAACGACAGGCGAATCTCCCCAAGACACATCACGATCTCTTTCGAATCCAACGTTATCGACAAGTGCCTTCGCGAGTGCAAATCCCTCGTCGAACCCAATCTCAAGCCCAACTGCATTAAATCTTTTGCTTCCTTCATGTAATTGTAAACAAAATAAACGCTATTGCTACTGCTGCTGCTGCTGACGACGACGTTGTTGCATCGACCGCATAAAAGTATCCACATCAAATTCTTCTCGGTATTCAGATCCATCTGATAGTTCCTGCAGTTCTTGCAACACAGCTTTGATCGATGACGTAGACGAGGAGGAGGAGGATGAAGATTTGGTGGATGCAATGATCTTCCCCATGGCATCCAACACCGGTTCTGACGTGAGCTTGTGCTTTGATTCGTTCTCATCGTCATCACCTACAAACAACTCCACCAGTCCCGCCGTATCCATCGATGACAAACTCTGATTGTCTTTGGTCACCACCGTATTGGCCACGTGTAACTTGAACTGCTGTACACTCATCACTTTCTCCTCCAACGTGTGATCAAACGATACACGTTAACCACTTTCTTCTGTCCAATACGATGTGCTCGATCCATCGCTTGCAGATCGTTCATAGGATTCCAATCGTGTTCCAGAAACACCACCGTATCGGCTCCAGTAAGACTCAATCAAGCCCAGCCCTCCCACCTGCGTCGTCAATAACAACACATCAATCGAAGCGTCTTCGTTGAATTGACGTACGATGCCAAACCGTTCATTGGCAGGAACTGATCCATCCAGACGAAGGAACGATACCGAAGGCATATGTCTTCGCATTAGAGTTTCTTCCGCCAGATCTAACGATGCTTTCATTTGCGCAAACAATAACACACGATGTGCACCCACCACTTGTTGTTGTTGTTGCTGGTCATCCATTCCAATCCCACAATCCAACAACAATTGTCGAAGTGTCTCCAACTTGGGCGCAAACTCCAAATCCAACAATTGTTTGCCTTGTCGCAACAATTCGTCTTGAATCTCATCCCATCGGCTGTGCTCAGGCGTCAACACCAACGCTGGATGTGTACATAACTTTCGTAGATATTGTAACATCACAAAGATATGCTGAGCCTGTTCTTGACTCTTCTTCTTCTTCGTCGTCGTCGTCGGCTGCTGCTGCTGCCGCTGCTGCTCAAAGTCCTGATACAATCGCTGCTGCAAAGGACTCATCGTACAATACAAATCTTGCAGAATCTTGGCCGGCAGATCCTCCAACACATCTTCTTTCTTCCGCCGCAACACAAACGGCAACACCTGATGACGCAATGCTTCCAACGCCAACGCTCCTTGCTCTTGCTCTCGAACGCTGGCCTTGGACGTATTGCTGGCCGCGATCTTCTTCACGAACCGACGCTGAAACAAACTTTCATCGCCAAGGTACCCTGGCATCAAGAAATCGAACAAACTCCACAACTCCAACACACTATTCTGCAGAGGTGTCCCGCTCAACACCAAACGTCGCTGCGCTTGCAATCGTTTACACGCCAACGTGATCTTGCTCTTCGGGTTCTTAATGATATGTCCATCATCCAGAATCACATACAACCATTGCACTTGGCTGAAGAATTCCACCTCTGCCCGCAGCACATTGTACGATAACACCACCACGTGATCCTCCAGACCTTGCATCATGGCCCGGCGACGCTGTTGTCGTTCTTTGGCCGGGCCTTCATAGCATTCTGCTCGTAGGACTTGGCTATTCACAAACTTATTCAGCTCATAACCCCAATGCGATACCAACGTTGGTGGACACACTACCAACGAAGGTCTTCTTCTTCTTCTTTCTTCTTCTTCTTCTCGTAGCCGGACCACTTCGCTGGCCACAATCGCCACCGTCTGCAGCGTCTTCCCAAGGCCCATATCATCACAAAGACAGCCATGGAGTCCAAACCGCTGCAAGAACGCCAACCAATTCACACCATCTTGCTGGTACGGCCGCAGCTTGGTGCCGTCCAGCAGCTCCACCCGCAGCGGGTATGGATCGCTCTGCTGCCCATCTAGTAACTGCTCCACGAACCGCAGCGCTTCGTCCCGGGCCCGAATCAAAGATGCCGGTAACGGCAGCAAAGAAACGGTACATCCTTGAGCTAAAGGTGCCAAACGTACCGCAGCAGCAAAGGCACCTGCAGCTGCCGATCGTACCGCTGCTTCAGCATCGCTCAGACGACCAAGTAGCGGGACGAATACCACCGGCACCAACGGCAACAACCAAACCGCGCCTCCATGTTCGTCCACTAACACGCCTAGAGCGGCGGCGGCACCTAGACGAGCGGCCGGCTCCTCCACGAACTGCAGAAACCGCACCAGAGCTTCCACTAGTCGACCGGCAGCTGCCGGTAACCGTCCGGCAAGTGTGGCCCAAGCGGCAGCTGCCGGCCGCAACAACTCAGTTTCACCCAAACGCACACAACTCAACCATCCGGGCTCTACATTGGCTGCCGCCGCCTCCACCGCTGCCGGCGCCAGGCAACGAATCAGTAATTCACCGAGGTCCAATTCTTGGAGTAGCCGGACCACAAGCTCTTCCTTGTCCGGCATCAACGGCAACTGCTTTTCATCAACGGCAACCGCCCAATCGGCGGGCGCAAAGTGCTGTTGTAAAGTGTGATGACAGGCCAACGGCAGCGCCGGCACCTGATCCAGCACCTGTTCGCCCAGTTCAGTACAGAGCGCCGGTACCCACAGCTCGCGAGCTGCACGGGCAGAAGCCGGCAGCAGCTTCTGCAGCATCTTGCCGGGTACTTTAGCTTGCCCGGCCGCAAGACACATTCGACATAGCCGGGCCAAAGATCCGGCAGCAGCCGCCGCTTCTTCGCCCAACAGCAGCTGTTGCAGCAGCGGTTGAATTAAAGGACCCAAGGTATCCGGCAACGCATTCCATTGCACCACAGCACTTCCGGCAGCTGCACGAACCCTCCGGCACCACATCTGATGCTGTTCTTCCCATTGCCTTAGATCATATTCTAGTTGCCGGGCCCATCCTGCTGCCGGACTCGCTTCCACCGCTGCCGGCACCACCGCTGCCAGCGCCGGCAACACTTCCTGCACCACATACATTGCTTGTTCAACACTCACTACCACCTCTGCTGCCGTTTCGGGCCCGGCCACCTGCAGCGCCTCCAATTGTTCTTGCCCTTCCACCGGCAACTGCAACAGCGTATCCAGGAGAACCCGATACGAATACACGACTTGTTGCCGGATTGTTTCCGTTTCCTGCAACTGCTGCCGTTCATTGGCTGTCATCGGCTGCAAAGCACCCAGCAGCGCCCGTTGCACTGTTTCCGGCAACTGCTGCTGGGTGGGCGTCCAGGAAGCAAAGATCCAAGCCGCTGCAACGCGACGAGATGCCGATTCCATCTGCAACAAGGCATCGGTCAGTGCTGCCGTGGCCAGATCGCCGGCAGCAGCGTTGTTGCCGAGGAGGTAGGCTAGAGCCCGGCAGCCTCGACGTTGTAACGGCATCGAACTGGGAATGCGTCGCCGGGATTGCACCCGTTCCTCCATCTGTTCTTCATCTCGTTTCTGTTTCTTGGCTGCCGGAGCTGCTGCCGTTTCGTGGTCCAGCACCTGCACCAACAAATGTTCCGGCAACCAATTCGGTGGCGGCGCCGAAACCAATGGCAGCAAGACCATCGGCAGCAGTTGTGACACTAACGGCAGCAGCACCGCCGGTTGGATCTGCTGCAGCAACGTTTGCCAAGCGCGTTCCGCTTCGGTTTGTACATCTTCCTGCAGCAGCACCGCCTGAAACTGTTGCCGGATCGCCTCCAACGGCACCTCTGCAGTTGCCGGATTGTTCAAGACTTTGTCTTGCCACACACAACTCAGTGTACGAAGCGCTTCTCGACGAACCACCCGCGACGAATGATGTAGCAACGGCCACAACCGCTGCAGGTGATCTGCCGGCAACGACGAAGTTTGTTGCTGCTGCCATTGCTGCTGCGGTTGATCATCTTCATCATACAAGAAAGCCAACGAGTGCATCACAGAGGCGGTGGCACTGGACAAATCATCCAAATGCAACAAAGTGTCCCATAACACCGGCACCATCGGCAACTGACACGCCGGAATCCTACCCAGGGCCCGGAACAATGGCAACGAAGCTTCAGCCGCCACCAGCAGTATATCATCACCGGCACCAACCCCATTTTGCACCGCCTGCACCGCAGCTGCTGCAACGGCAACGCTTGTTGCCGGACCACATCTGCCGGCAACACAGCCAGACAATACTTGAGCCCTAGTAGACCACGTTGTTTCAATTCCCATTGTTGCCGATCTCGAGCGGCCGCCAGCAACGCTCCCAATCCGCTGCTGCTGTTCTTCTCTGCACCACCCAGCAACCGCTGCAGTAACCGCAGCGATCCGGCAGCAGAAGCGGTTTCTTGGGCGACCACCGCCAGCACCTGAGCAGCGGTCTCTCGAACTGGAGCAATGGCCTGACCAGAGGCAAAATCGGCGAATCGATCCAAGGCTAGCAGCAACAGCAGACGCACCAAAGCATCATTCAACCAGGCGCGATGCGCCAAGGCTACGCTGCTCTTCGCCTGTTGTTCACGTTGCAGAGACCAACCAGCGCGATGAATATGTCGAGATAACACTTCACGAAGTGCCAGAACTGCACCATGACGAGTTTCCAAGCGTACATCAAACATATCGCGCAGTAATTGTTCGCAGAACGGTTGGAAAGGCCATCGATCCCAGGTGGCCTGCGTTGGATCCAGATCTTCTTCGTGTACAATCTTCTCTGCAGACGAAGTAGAAGATGTGGTAGTAGTAGTAGTAGTAGTAGTAGTAGTAGTAGTATTGTGCTCCTTCTTCACCATCTTCATCTTCTTCTTCTCCAGACGTTTCAATCGGTTCCGCTCACGAGCACTGAGTTTGGCTTGAGATTCTTCAAGTTGTTGCATCATCTGCTGCGCTACTTCTTGTTCTTGATCTTCCCGCTTGGTCACCTCCACAAAATCCTCGTCCCGAAACAATTTTCCAATCTCACAATCAATCTTCCGATCCAACCCTAACCGCTTCATCAACCGCTTCTTCTGCACTTCAATGCGCTGGTGTACTCCCAAACCGCCCCAATCCACCTGAAACTCCTCTCCTCCAGACCCTAGCAATGGTTGACCTCGCGCCAATACTTCCTCCAGCTCTAATTCCTCCAGTTTCAACCAAACCCTAAACCCTCCTGCACGATTCTCCTCAGCGGCTGCTGCTTCTGCTTCTTCCCATGAAGCCTCAGCATTGTCCAATTCGTCGTCTTGCATTGCATCATCGGGGGTGGCCTCTAACCCTAGCAGCAGCAGCGCCGGCGACGCCACCTGCTGCACACACTGCCCTACCGCCTGCGCGGCCGCCACCCGGGTGTCCCACTCCACGTGCTGCAGCAGCGGCCGCAGCCGGAACAGCAGCGGCTGCAGTTGCGCAGGGTGCAGCTGCACCACCTGGCCCAGCTGCTCCGCTGCTGTTCGCCGCACCAGTGCATTCGAACCCGACGCCAGCAGTAAGAACAGTCGATCCAGCCGTGATCGAGGTCGCTGCCCACCACCACCACCACCGCCGCCGCCGCCGCCGTCTCCACCTGCCGCCACCACCGCCTTCTGCTTCCGACCCATCGCGCCCCGTCGCTCCCCAACTGCTGATGCGGTGCACCAAACCCTAACGGCTGCGCACTCCTCTCCGCTTCCTTTCGCTCCTGGCGCGAACCCTAAACCCTAGGACTGAAACCCTACAACCCTAACCCTTAGCCCAAGGAAAAGAGAGAACCTGAAGTGTTCATCGACCTTTGATGAACACGCTTCACCAACATGATGACGACAAGCAGACGAACACGTGATTCACTGTTTTACAGTTGAGAGCAGCCGACGATTTCACAGTTGCTTCTGACAGCCACTGTGAGTACTCGTTGGCATTTGTGTAATCCTTGTATTCTTGTTACATCTTTGTTCATCTGAAGCTTTTCTCATCGTATTGTCGTCTGGACCTGTGAATTCTATCTGGTCTTTAGGACTCCCCATTTATACAATGATTCCCACCAAGAGTGTGGTCTTCATTGTTTCGTGCCTCCTCGTGCTCAACATCGCGACCGCCAAGCCTAGATGGCATTTTGCAAGCTCCGGCAACAAAACGTACCAATCGGTTGAGTTTGAGGGAGGCACCTATGAAACTATTGTAGTTCCAGAGCATCCCGTGATCGGCCTTCCATGGCCTCGACCAAATGGCGGCTTGAAATATCGAATTATTGACGCTGCGCGCTTCATTGAAGAGAAACCTCCTCTCCAATGGGAAGCTCTTCAAGAAGACTTTCGTAACGCCTCTACGGAAGGAGGTTCGCCTCCTGGCTCACAACAGGTGAAGGGCTACAGAGATTTCAAGCGTCTGCAAAACGGAGAGGCAAAGTATCAGACAGTCGAATTCGACAACAAAACGTATGCTTCAATCCAGCACACGAAGGAGGAATTGCATCTGGTACCCACCATCGAAGGCGGTCAGCTCAGGTACAATTTGACCGATGCAGATGGTAAGGCAGTACCGTTTGCTGGAAGACCTCAGAAGCCAGCTAAGAAGCTCTTAGCGTCGGCTGTGGAAGGTATGCTGACGGTGACGACAGCAGAGCTTCGGGGAGAGAACAACACAGCGAAAATCAAGTGGTGTTTTGCAGGATGGTTCGAACGTGATGTACAATATGTTCAGTTCAACGGACGCTCGTATGATAGGATCATCTTTAATGGGAATCCGCTCGTCAGTAGACCACAGGTCAACAGATCAGTTGGGTTGCAGTGTGTATCCTATGATCTGGACGATATGGGAAAGGAAGTGGATCGGGCCTTTTTGGAAGGCCTTCCATCTTACACAAGAACATTTGTGTTGGGTAAACAGGATGATGAGAAACCGGTCTATGAAGATGCCGAGCTTCTCAGCAGTGACGACGTGAACTATGTTTCTGTGGAGTACATGAACCGAACGTTTCGTTCGATCATACGTACGCCACGTTTAAAAGAGCTCGTACCTGTCGTGAAGGGCAATAATCTCACGTACACCGTTTACGTTCATTCACGAGAAGTAGAGATTGACGTATCTCCACATAAGGTGGCAGAGATGTTACAAGCGAAAACGGAAGATCTGCAGTTCATAGGCCTTGGTCCCGCTGTGAATAGGCCTCGTTATGTTCCGCCTGGTGTGTATAGCCCCCGTTACACTTGGCCTGATGTGAATAGCTTGCCATCGATCTCGCCTGGTGTTTACGCTCCTCCTGGTGCACAGAGCCCTCGTTACGGTGAGCCTCGTTTGAGAAGTTATGGTTCCGCTGCGCCTCGTGTGAACACCGTTTCGTGGAACGTGTTGTTGCTGCTTCTATCACTTGCAGCGTCTTTGGTGTAATGATCGCCGCCATCAGTTATCACATGAACTCCCCATCGAGTCTTAGCCACCCACACACTGTTTCTTTTCTGAAGGTGTCCGAGGCCTCGATGTTGTTGTAGCCTGTATGGTCTGCGACACACGTTTCGTGGAGAGTTGGTTGGTGACGAGGTTTTGCAGGGTGTACCTTGTGGCTCTTGCTCGTCGGGGATGTCCTGCAGCCGGGTACCACCACGTAGCCCCGGTTGTGTGTTTCATGATAATGGTCGAAATCGCCACGCTACAGTAGAGTTTCAGCACTCCCACCGAAGTCGAGGCGTGTCAAATGGGATCACATGTCCAGAGATTCAGGCGCAAAACTGTTTTGGTGCGCTTATCATCGAGTTAGTTTGAAGCAGCACATTTAGTGACATCAAGGTGGCAAGCCGGAAGCTGAACAGTTACACACACATCTAGGTTGACAGTCTTTCACGAAAGCAACCTTCGGCTAGAACAATGACATGAAAGACTATGTTGGAACGAAAGTTGAAACTGTTTTTTTTGCCTTGGCTCTGTTTCAGCACACAATGCAAGCGTGTTCACAAACAGCAGATTGAGACGGAAGTTGGAACAGCATTTCTGCCTTTTCTCGAGTTAGCTCCACGACGAACGTGTTTAACATGCTGCTGAATCGGAAATTGAGACTGCATGGTTGTCACCTTCCTTCGTGACAGCTAGAGAACGGTATCATTCACACTTTTGGCGTTTCTTGTGGACATCAATCTTCATCTATTGGGTCAGAGACATATCTATCTCAACCAATTTGCCGTGTTCGTTCCTGCATTTTCCACTCAGTCTCCCAACTTTGACCAATGACTGCCTCCACACGTGTCGTATGGTTCGTGTTGGTCGTTCTCTTACCTTCCATCATCGATGCAGCCGAGTTCAAATGGCGGTTTGCAGAACCTGGCGACAAAAACTACACACGGGTTGACTACAATGGAGCTCCATATGCGACGATTGTCATTCCAATTCCAATGATCGCACTACCACATCTTGAGAACGGTACGCTGCAGTATCACTTCTATGACGCTGACGACATGGGGGAATATGTAGAGGGACTTATTTTGAAGGATGATGACGCCGACGCTTTGGATGCTTTGAAGGAAGGT